CCTCTAACAGAACCCCTCACGAGCATCCTCACGTCCCAGAATTCCCTGCCTGCAGACTCTCAGGAGAGCCCCTGTCCCCCTCCCTGAGGCCGGCCAGTCGGGGTCCCCGCCTCCTATTCCCCAGGCTCCACTGGGACCAGGCATGACATTTCTGTCGCCCATGTTCTCCCCAATGCTCCTGCAAGGCCGGTGTCAACAGGGCACGGGGCTGCTCTGGGCTCTGACCAGAGGGACAGGTCCCCAGGGCTGGCAGCCAGTCTGTCTTAGGTGCCCACAACCAGCCATGCCCGGGACACCTCGCCAGACCCTCCCTCTGCAGACCCACCTCACATCAGTGTGCTGAGTTCCCTCTCCTCTCCCAGGCCTGGGCCCCATTTCCAGTTTAGAAATGGAGCCCCTCTGTCCCCGCCCCTCAGGGGAACACACAATGCCTCTGTAAGAGACGACCCCCCCACCCCTCCTTTCCACCAGGTCAGAACCTCACGAGATAATCTCAACATTCACCCAAACATACACCGCCTTCGCCACATGTGAGGTGATGAGCTCCCTGTCTCTAGAGACATTCAAGAAGACACTGACTGAGGAGGGAGGTCCTGGGCTGCGGGCACTGTTCTGTTTGTGACCTGAACGCAGTCACATGGGAATGGTTTGTTTTCGAGAACCACTGACCACTGCACTTGTGACGCGAGCGCTTTTCCGCATGAACGTGACAGCTCGTTAATAATTTCCTAAGTGGAAGTGACTGGGAGCTGCTGACCATTTGGCAGGGAGGAGAGGAGGTTGGGACGCCCTGCAGGGCCTCCCAGCAGGGCCCTGAGATGCAGATGGGGCGCCTGCACTGGGAGCCCCGCCTGAACACAGGGCAGGAGCAGGCGAAACCGCTGGAGGGAGGGCGGGATGAAGCGGTGAGCGGAGGCCTGCGCAGGACCGCAGACGAATGCACGCGTCTTGCATGGGTGCCTGAGGACAGGAGATCCTGAGTTCAAGGCCCACTGCCTGCCGCCTGAGTCTCGGTTTCCCATCTGTCCGTCCGGGGGGCTGTACACTCTCTGGCCTGGCGGCAGAAGGCGGGAGGGCTCGGTGCCGGGCTCTGTGCTGAGCCAGCAGGTGCAGGGAGGAGACCCAGTTTGTCGTCAGCGATGCTGGAACCGAGGGAGACAGGGAAGGGGGGCACAGCCCAGGGAGGCGCAGAGAGGAAAGCCAAGGAGGCTTCCTGGAGGGCGGCAGGGGAGGGGTTAACTGGGCTTAGCTGTCCCTGCTGCTGTTCACGCTGGACTGGACTGCGACCGAGTGCTTGGTCTCCAGCTCCCCTCCTGCCTTTGGGCCTTATCTTGTCATCTAGACTCTCCCCAGAGCCTCCGCAGCAGCGGGGACGCGGCAGGGGCTGGTGCCGTGCAGCCAGAGCGTAAAGCACGGGTGGAAAACTACACCCCTGCATGCAGGGCAGTGGGAAGCTCTCCCGGTCTGTGCCAGGACAAGATAAGGGAGGCGTCGTCTAAATTACGGACTCAAGCAGGTACAGAATCTGATCCAGGAAACCACGGAAGCCCCAAATCCCTTCCTCGGGGTGAGCCCGCCCCAACCAGCAGAGCCTGCCTCCTAAGCCAGTTAGCTCAGTCCCGCAGCAGCTACCACTGCCCCCACCCCCGGCTTCAGATGGGCCCAGCAGGACCTGGGGAAACCGGGCCCAGGCGGAAGTCTCCCCCCATCCCCACCCCGAAACCGCAGCTCGCCCCCCTGGCCCTGGCAGGCGAGCTCTGAATTCTAAGCGTGGTTTCTTTTTCAAAACAACTTCGGTCACAGATGCTGGATTCAAAAAAGAAGTGTTGTGGAGACTTGCGCTGCTGTCCTGAGGGCAGCTCATGATGGGGCCCAATTCTGGCCTCGAGAGCTTCCTGCAGGGGAGTGACCAGTGTGCTGGGGGGTCCCAGGCAGAGAAACTCAAGTCCAGCCTTGCACAGCCCCACCAGGCCCCAGGGAGCACAGCTGATGCCCTGGTGTCCCCACACCAACCCACAGCGGGGCGGGGGCAGCGGGCGGCTTCCAGCGTCCTGCTGACCAGACAAGCACGGAAGGGTGTGGATGTGAGAGTTTCCCGCCCCTAACACGGTGGAGAGTCCCCGAAGGTCTAAGGATCCCCAAGCCCCCTCAGAACCCCACAACGTCATCCCCGGAGAGTGGTGACAAGTGGTGCAGATGTCACAGAAGCAGGAGAGGACGAGAGGCACCCTGGGCCACTAGCTTCCCGATGGGGCTGGACCCGCCCTTTCACAGAACCCCCACCCCAGACCCCACACCCCAGGTCCTCCCTCATCCTGAGCAGGGGTGGCCGGGCCCAGCACTCCCAGGAGAGCTGAGCAGGCCTCAGAGTGACGTCCCTCCAAGGCCTTTCGTGAAGGTGCGGCCGCAGACCGGACACGAAGTGGTAATTAATTACACACGTTTGAAATCCACTTCACAGACGGAGCTCACAGCTGCCTCGGAGACCCGTGTTCACCCGCGGACCAGAGCGCCCGGGGCTCCTGCCTCACCTCGATGCCTGAGCCGGAAGCTGAGGCACGCACGCCAGAGGGACGGAGGGACGGAGGGACAGAGGGACAGCACTCGGGGTTAGGGTCGACAGAAGAACACGGAGAAGATGCACCTGCCTCATTAATATCGAGGTCCAATAAGAGACAAGTCCACGGAGGGCCCAGCCTGGGGCTGGGTTTTGTTCTAGGCCTAAGAGCCCCTTCATTTGCATTTATATTTAAAAAAAGAAGAAAACAAACATAATTAACTAGAAAGGTGCGTTATTTCCTGTAAATTCAAGGGCTTCTGCTAAACTGCTTCCTGGGGCAGAGAGCAGGAGGCGCACCCACTAAGCACTTCGGGTACCTGGCAGCTGCAGGAGCCAGCCCCACCCCCCAGCTCAGGGTCAAACTGGCAGGTGGTTCCTGTGCAGCGCCCCTTTCCCCCCGGTGGGGAAACTGAGGCCTGGAGCTGCAAACTGACCCCCTCAGGCTCTTCCAGGGTCTTCCATTGGCGGGCAGCCGAGTGAGAACAACCTTCCTTCCCGTCCCTGCCGGCTACTCGGCCTTCTCCCCCCAACCAGCTGACCACTCAGCAGAGGCAGTGAGAGTAAGCAGTGCAGACCTCAGATGCCCCTGCGTCCTGGGCTGCCTCGAGCGGCACCCGCACCGCCCCTGCTGAGAACCCTCAGGGGGCCACTCATTCCCGCCGGCCCAGGCCTGCGCCCAGAACCACGGATCAGAACCCACACCTCTCCACAGGAACTTTATCAACAGGCTCACAGTTTCTTTTTGCAGGCAAATTGGAACGTCCCTGGGTTGGACTTGAACTCCAGTCCTTTCCTATCGGAGTCCAACCCCAGGGCCCGCCAAACGTCCCCTGTCTGGGGTCAGGGTCACCAATGCCAGGGTCACCGCTGTTCCCATGCCCAGGGTGGGCAGCTCGGGAGGCACGCCCCAGCTCCCCGGCACACAGGCGCCCCCACCCCTATTGTCCCTGTGCAGCTGCGTGTTATGAGCACAGCTCACCCTGGAAGTGTAAAGACAGAAGGGCAGTGACGACCAACTGGCCCTTCCGGGCCCTGGAAACACATGGCGGCAAAGGAAGGACTTTCTGGGCTTTGGCCACTGGGCCTCAGCCTGGGGCAAGCAGGAGCGGAGCTGGTTATGGAGGCGACAGAAGGCCAATTTCCTTCCCAAACCATGAGAACCTGCAGCAATGAATTAAACACTGCAAACAAGATGACTCTCCAGAAGTATCTTCACCCCAGAAGGGAACACAGGCCGTCCTGCCCAGGACTTCCTGTTGCATATGGCACGGAGGAGCCGGCTCTGCCAGCTCAGGGAGGCGAACGAATGCAGGGCGGGGGGGGGGGGGGGGGAGGAGGCCTCGCCTCCACCGGGCACAGACAGGACTGTGGGGAGCAGGAAAGAGGCCACCCCAAGCCAACGCGGGGCCCTGGCTGGACCCTGGGGAGGGCTGTGGCGGGCAGACAAGGGGCAGAGACACGGCCTGCCTCCTGTGCTGAGAGCACCCCTCATCCACTGGGATGAAGCGCCCTGCTGGAGTCCCCAAAGGTCTTTCTCAAAGTATAACATCTGCAATCCCCCCTACCCCAGGCCGCAGTGGGGGTGCTGCCCTTGACACCCACTAGAGATTGAAAGCTCACTGCACAGCACCCTTTGGGGAACCCACGGGAGTCCCCAGGGCGTCCCAACAGGACTCTCCCCAGTTGGGGCCGAACTTCTCCCATTTCCAGGCAACATGCAGACCCATCCTGCCCCCTGTCTCAGACTGGGGGTGGGCGGGTCCCGATGGCCCTCTGTCCTCGACCTTGCTTCCAGCCCAGTTTCTGGGTGGCCACCCCCTTCCATCACCAGACAGCAAACTCTCTCCCCCCTCCAGGCCTGGCGTGACGGGCCCCAGAACGGCAGGAAGAGGAGCCAGCAGAGAGGATGGCTGAGATCGGCCTCAGAGACGCTGAGAGCTGTTGAGGGTCAGCGCCCCCCACGCTCCAGAAGCAGCCGTTGGCCACCTGAGCCCCTGTCCACGCCGCGGGCGGCAGGCCAGCCCCCTGCAAGTCCCAGAGAGGTAGTAACTGCAGGCTTGGAGCCCCGTGCAGCCCAGCCGCGCCGGGGCGGTGGGTGGGTGGGTGTCTGCTATAGGATTATTCTTAGCGCTCCACTCTCTTCGCAAAAGTGGCGCCTCCGCCCTCCGGGATCCGGCACGCTCGCTCGGGGCTCGCACGCCCGGCCCAGACACAGACACCGGCGCAGAGAAGCCGCGGGTGGGGTCCACGCGGGGTGAGGTGCGGAGGCGCCGGAGAGGAGGGGGCTCCCGAGGAAGGAGGAGGCGCTGCGAGAGGAGCCCCAGCGACTGGCTGCGCGGACCACCCCCCGGCGCCCCGCACCCAGCCCCGCACCGCGCGCTCGGCCGCCTTCCCGGACGCCTCCCGGGCGCAGGCAGCCGGCGGCGCGCCCAGCCCTTACCTATGGTGGTGATGACTGTGATGGCAAAGTAGAAGGAGCCGGCGAACCTCCACTGGACGCCGGCGCGGTGCGGCTCCGCCTGCAGGATCACCAGCTCCAGCTGCCGATAGTCCTCGCCGCTGATGTTGTACTTCCCCTTGATCCGGGTCTCCTCGGCCCGGAGTTTCTCCTCCTCGCGCATCTCGTGGTCCGACTCCAGGGCGTCGAAGACAGCGGCGCCCACCAGCAGGTAGGTGAAGGTGCAGACGATGAGGGACAGAGTCCGCACGTTCTGCCTCTTCATGGCCGCCAGCAAGGAGCCGGCGCGGGGGGCATGTCCCGCAGGCTCGCAGCCGCGCGCGTCCCACTGCAGCGCCCGGCGGCCGCCGCCTCCTCCGCCGCCGCCGCCGCCGCCGCCTCCAAGTTGTAAGCGGCGGCGGCAGCAGCAGCAGCAGCAGCAGCGGGGAGGCGGGGGGCGGGGAGGCTGGGGGGGCCCCCCTCCGCCGCGGCCGCCACAGCCGCCGCCACCGCGAGGCGGCTGGCGGGGCAGGGGCGGCGCGAGCCCGGGCCCGGGCTCGGGCGAGAAGGCGGACAGGCACAGGAGGCTGCTCGAGCGCCGAGGCCAGGCGTCCGGGAGCCCCGACACCCTGCGCCAGACCCGGCCGAAGCAGCCCGCCCCACTGCGCAGGGCCATGCACGGCGGCGCCGCCGGGCACCGCGCTGCCCTCCGCACCCCGCCCCCCGCTCCCGCCAGAAAAGCAGGAGCAGGAGCGGGCGCGAGGCCCGAGGGCGGCCGCCGGGGCCCGCGCCCCTTGGGGTCCGGCTCCCGGGCGGTGGCGCCCCGCTAGGAGCCCACAGGTTTTCGTGCGCCGGGTGGGACCACCTTCTCCTTTTACCCCTCTTCACCCCCCCCCCGAGGGGGTGCGTAAAAGTTTTCGAAGTGGCGGCGTCTCTGGAGTCCCCAGTAAGCGGGGAGGGGCCCGAGCAGGTGCAGCGAGCGGGGCAGCCAGACGCCCGAAGGTCCGAGCGCCCGGGGCCCACCAGGGCGCGCAGGGACGCGGCGGGGTCCCTGCCGGGCGTCGGCCGGTCCACGAAGTTTGCTCCTCTCAGCCCCCGAGGCGCGGGAGCGGGGCGCGGCCTCCCGGTGGCAGAGCCCGCGGCGGAGCGGCCTCGGGGGCGGCCGGGGGACCGCGAGGTGGCGGTCGTCCAGCCCGATCCTCCGAGGGCGGCGGGCGCGGCGGCGGCGGCGGCGGGAGGGGTCCCGCGGGCCTCGCGGAGCTGCGGGGCGGGCGCGGGCGCATCAGCCGCGCCGGGGTCGGGGCCCTCCGGCGTCCGGGCGTCTGGGGAGGCGGCTGCGGCGCTGGTCTGCCCAGGGCGCTGCGTGCGTGCGCGCCGGAGGGAGCCCGAGTGTGTGTGCGTGTGTATGTGTGTGCGTGTGCGCGCGCGTGGCAGCCCCGCTCCGGCGGGAGGGCCGTGGGGGGCGGGGGCCGGGCTACGCGGAGGCCCGGCCTTCCTCCCTCTCTTCTTCACTCCCTCCCGCAGCCTCCCGGGCGCGCCACCTCCCTCCTGGTCCGCCGCCAGCTGGCGAGGCAGCCGCGGCAGCTCCGGCAGCAGAGCGAGCGCGGCGCGGGGCGCACGCGGAGGGAGCCCAGGAGGGGCGGTGGGTGCCGCGCGAGGGGGCGGAGGCGAGCGGAGGACTGGGTGTCTCCGGAGTGAGGGTGGGGGCGGAGCCACCAGCAGGTTTCAGCGGCGGGGGATGGGAAGACTAAGGCGGCTGCTTGGGTCCTTGAAGCCCGGCTTCCTGAGAGCGCGCGCAGCCACGCGGGGCGGAGAGTTTGAGGGACCCGGGGCTAGAGGAGGAAAGGGAATTCACCCCGAGAATGCAGACGGGCGGCTTAAGAGAGAGGAGAGATCCAGAGGAGAGTGGAGAACACGAGCAGAGGAGCCGCGGACAGCCAGGAGCGCAGCAGCACACGCGGTTCCCCCAGGGCCAGCCACCTGGCGCTGGCGCGTGTCCCTGGCCGGGGGCACCTCCCCATCGCGTGGCGAGGTTCCGAGGGTTGCCTCAGCCCCAGCGAGCGTCGCAGACCGGGTGGCCCGGCGCCTGCAGACCCGAGTTGTTCCCCCGGAAAGTGCCGTGGATGGAATGAACCGCCACTGTTGGGGTCCGGGCCTCAGGGGAGGACGCCGCACCCCCCTTTCCTGGTCCATCCCTGTGGCTTTTACAAGAAACACTCCTTGGTTCCCCGAGGCTGGGCGCAGGGTGCACCGGGAACGCAACCCTGCCCTTGCGTCCCCGCGCAGCTTGATGGCCCCTCTCCGGACCAGCCTGGGGAAGGAACGCGAGGTTCGTGCCGGGGCGCACCTATTTCTTGGGTCCAGAGAGGGGACCTAGCCAGGCTTTATCCCCTTTCCATTTCAGCCGCGTTTGCCCTCTTCCCCCACCTCCCTTCAGGTCATAGATGGGGTTTTTCGCTCGACCACCGCACCCCTAACCTCTCGGAGCTCGAAATAGGCTGGTTGCAGCCTCGGAGACCTCCCCCCGCCCCCACTCCCGACTCCCCTTCCCTGGGTCAGGAGGCCTCTCTTGGACCCAGTCAAGGAAGAGATGGACACTTGAAGGAAGGGGCGCCCCCCGGCGGCAGGCTAAGATCCGAGGCAGAGGTGGCCAGGGGCGGTGCGGAGTAGGCCAGAGCACCAAACCCAACCCCCAGCTCGCGGGCTCCAGGAGCCCGACACCCCCGAGCGCCCCCTCCGGCGGTGCTTCAGTTCCCGGTTGGCAGGGACTCAAGGCCGAGGGACTCCAGGGACCCTGGGCCTCACCGAGGCTCGCCGGCTTTCCACACCTTTGCAGGGACTCGCGAGTGCGTGCACCCCCGCTGCGCCGGGGCAAGGGCCCGCGCTTTGGTCTGGGCTGTTCGGTCTCCACTGGGTCTGCGGCGACCGTTAGCAACTAGGAAGGAAGGTGGGGGGCGAAAGCCCCGCCCCAGCGGGCGCTCTCCCTAGAATTCATTTTGGAAACCTAGACCCCGGGCTCGGCGAATGAGCCGGGCCGCTCGGTGAGTCACCACGAACAGGCGAAAAGGACTCCTAGCGGCCGGTATTAACTGCGCCCCGGCCCGGCCCACAGCAGAACCCCCGTCGGACCTCCGGAGGCTCGGCGGCAGCGGCGCCACACCAGAGCCACAGCCGTCCGGCCTCCGCTGTCCGGAAGCATCGGGCCCGCCAGGGGGCACTGGACTCCGACCCACATGCTCCGAGCGAACCCGGTGGGGGCAGTGAGCGCCGGCCCCGCTGGCAGGTGCAGAAGCGGGGCTGGGACAACTCTCCACTGGCAGAGTCCAAGCTCTGGAGAGAGCCACTTTTGCTGGGTTTACAAACAGCCTTTCAGGAAAACAGAACCGCTTTGTGTGCGTACTTGAAGGGACCTCAGAGATAAACTAGTCTCAACCGCGGTTTTATGGAAGGAGAGAATCACTTCAAGGACGCAGGCAACTCCGACCTAGAGCCGGCACTAGAGCCTCCTCCGAGCTCTGTCCAGCGCTTCTTCAAGGCCCCGGCTGCCTTCTGATCTCCAGTTTACAGTGCCATGAAGAGCTGCAGACCCCCCCTCCAAAATGCTGGCTCTTCCTTTTCACCCCCCTAAAGAGAAACAAGACAGGGGAGCCGGGTCTCAGAGCGGGACCTGGGGAAGGCTGCAGGAGCAGGGTGCACTGGTCTGTCTGTCTGCACCCACACTCTTCTGCGCCCTGCACTCTCCTTCCATGGCCTACACCTACAGGTGGAATGGAGCTCCTCGGAGCAGAGCTTGACATCTTCCTAGCGTACCTCGCACTCATCCCCAAGGTAGTTGCTGAGCCAGCACTGTGGGGGGCTGCGACAGTTCAGAAAGAGGTCAGGCTAGTGGCAGTGCCTCTGCATGGGAGGGGGCAGCGCCCTCTTTGCCCGAATAGTTCTGGAAGCACCAACTCCAGCCCTGATTGGAGGTGGAGTCAGAGCTCAGGTGTGGCCAATCAGAGCCCAGGATTCCCCTGGCGGCAGTGATTGGCTGGACGTGGCTCACCTCTCCCCCAATGAGAGCCCTGGGAAAGCGTTCCCAAGAAGAGGGAGGCAGGTGCTGAGGGTGCAGGCCGGGGCAGCCCACTGGGCGAGCAAAGGCGAAGGCAAAGCTGCAAGCTCACTTCTGCTCAGGCCACTGTGGGAGGGTCCTAGCCTGGAGGCGCTACTGGTGGGCACCTGCTGACTGGCAGCCTGGCCGTGCTCCTGGGCATCCGTGAGTAAAAACAGGCGAGTCTGAAGAGACATGAAGAACACGTGGCTCCAGAGCTCCGTTGTGCCTCCCTGTTTGCTGGGTTCTTACCCTCGCTGAGTGTGTCCATAGCCCCAGGTCTGAGGATTGGTGCCCCGCCTCACCTAGAGAGGCCCCGCAGCATTGCTGTTCCGCAGGGAGTCCGCGTGGACCCGACTGCTGACCGCAGCTGCTCCCACAGCACCCTGCGTCCGTGAACCGACTCTGCTGCCCCTGAAGGCAGCAAGGCACGGCTCTAGGCCAGGTCCCCCAGCTCAGGGATCCCCAACCTGTGGCCCCTGACCGGTACCAAAATGGGCCTGTTAGGAACAGGGCCACAGAGCAGGAGGTGAGCTTGAATGTAATGTCTGAGAATCACCCCAAAACCATCCCCCACCCCAGTTCGTGGGAAAACTGCCTTCCATGAAACAGGTGCCTGGTGCGCGGAAGGCTGGGGACCGCTGCCCCAGCTGACGGCCAGGGCAGGTCCTTGTGGCCTCCAGCCCCTCACTGGCTCCTGCCTCAGCATGCGGCTCTGCACTCCATGCAGAAAGCCCTCAGGAGCTCCAATCCGCACGCCCACCCTGGGCATTCCCACGGCAGACCTGGTCTCAGTTCCCACTGCCCTCCTCCCCACCCCAGCCCGCCAGTGCTGTCCTCTGCTCAGGCTGTTCCCTCCTTCAAGCCAAGGACAGCCCCCCACCCCCACCCATGCACACGCATGCCCTTGCTTTATTAGAGGAAATGTGATTACTGGGTTTCAGGCTTCTTAATGGGGCCCAAACCGTCTCCACGCCTGATCCATAAATAGCTCCGTCAGGTCCCGAAGCCTGGGCGCTGCCAGGATCAATCGGGCAATCGGCGAGGGCTGACAGCTCCGGGGGTGCTGCTGGAGGGGTGCCAACGGTGCCCAGCAGGAGGGTCTCATTAACTGAGGCCTGAACTGCAGGGTCGGCACCCGAGGGAGCCTGCTCCACAGCCAGCAGGGGAGACAGGAGGGCGCCTCCAAACCCCAC